CCAGAAAAACCACCCAACCAATCCACAAAATCATGAGACATAAATCAAAGTTGTTTTAAGCCACTGTGCTGTGGGATGGTTTGTTACACAGCGAAAGCTAACTGATGCGCTGGGCTCCCCACCACTGTAGCCTCTGTTTGTCATGTCCCCTGGTCAGAGTCTCCATCTTAGTGACCCTCCTGGCCCCTCATTCTTGTAAGGCCCTGCCTTGCTTTGCCAGCTCTCTCACCTCCCCCTTGCCACAGGACTGGAGTCTTCCCTATGAACTCTAGTCCAGTGGCCAAGACTGCATTATAACAACTCTTTATGGTTTAAAAATGCTTCCACATCCATGACCTCCCCCTATCCCGACCACAACTCTGAGAGGTAAGCATCGTTATCCCCATTTCTCAGAAGAAATGACTGAAGCTCAGAGAGGTTCTCAGACCTAGTAAAGTCACACAGCTAGCCAGCGAATCTTCTGATTCCAAACCCTGTGCTTTTTCTTCTTCATCTCATGTGGATTAGTTCACAGGCCTCCCAGCTGGCAGATGTCCCCACTGCTAACAGTTTACCTAAATTTCTGAATGTCATCTGCCTCTGATTTCTCACCATGGCCTTGTCCGTTGTTGGAACACCTGTTACTGGGTCCATGTCAGAGCTCCCAGATGTCACCCACCTGCCAGGGCTGCCACTTGCTGTCTGTAGCCAACCCTCTGGATTTGTGATCTGCCTGCCAAATTTGACTTCCTTCAGAACCTGTAACTCTCTGGGTTTGTCCCCTCAAGGACCTGCTCCTCCCTGGTCCCAGATCTACCCAGTGTAGCCCCTCCCACATCATCTGCCACATCCCTGGAGAGGAGGGTCATCAGGGTAAAGGGAAGGAGGTGAATAGCTACCACATGGGGTTCCAACTGGACTCCGCTCCTGTGGGTTTCTGGGCCACCAAGCTTTTGCAGCTGGACCTTTGATCAAAATACTTTGTCTAATAGGTTTGAAAATTGATCTGTGTATACATAATCATTAAAATAGGTGAGAAAGAGTAAGAAGTAGGTCCTGTTGTCCAAAGCAAGTCACGCAGTCAAGCCCAGACTGGAGAGGAAAAACTCTCCCTTTGGATGACAGGACTGGTAAAGTTGCATTGTAAAGGGTCACAACGTATAAAGGGATCGGAAAGATTTTTACTGAGCTCGGATGGGCCTTTATGGAGATTCACTTTCTGTTTGTTTCACAGCTAGATGGAAAGAAGTCACTGGGTTCCCTTAGCCCCTGAGCCTCTTACGGGGGTCTCAGCATTGAAGACATGTCCACACTACCTTCTGTTGTGTTAATGCACAACTGGAACCATTCTAGGAATTTCTTGGGAGGAAATTCTGGCCGGCTTACCCCAAGAACACTTCTGGAGAAGGGAGTTTACTTACGGTCTGACACAGCACATTGGTAATTTCTCAGTCAGGCAGGGGTCCCAGGACTGGGACATTGCAGGGCTCAGTGAGAAAATGACAGACTCGGGCTCCCTCAGGAGAAGAATAAACTTTCTGACAGTTCATTGCCATAGCCCTAGCTCTGTGCCTGGGACTTGGTGAGCACGCCACAGATATTTGTTGAATAGAGGACGGATGACAACGACTAAGTGAAGGACAGAGCCATCCAGCCAGCAATCCCATCTTTGGAGAGCTGTCAAATGGGTTCCATGAGGCCATCAGAGAGGAATGCTATGGGGGTGGGGGTGGGAGGGTCACACTTTGGAGGGTGCTGGCTACAGGATCTTCTAACTCAGAGGTTCTGCATCCCGAGAGCCCCTCCTTATTTCACTGGCTGTCCCGCTATAGAAGCAATAGCTAGAGTGACTCAGAGATGATGTGGTTTAATAAATTCAAGTGTGAAGCCAGCTTTGGAAGGTTACAGATGTTGAGGTTCAAATGTGCATACTCAGCAACTCCACTGCCAAGTGTCCACCCTAGAGAAACTCTCACCCATGTGCAGAAGCAGATGGATATGAGGATGTTCACGGCAGCTCTGTGCTTTACAGAGGCAAGTCAGCGACAGTGTGCCTGTCTCTCAGTAGGGGAACCAGTAAATGAATACACTGGGCTCTATTCACCTATTGGAATACCACACAACAGTTCAAATGAATCTATATCCCTACGCATGTCAATAACTATATTACTTATATGAACTAGAAATCTCAAAAACCATAGCTGCTTACGCTATCATTCCATTATGCAGAGCTTAAAACCACATATAACAGGGGCACGTTGTTTACATCTAAATACATGTGTAGGCAAGACAGGCACACATTCAAGGGAACAGCATCATCGACTCAAGCCAGGGGTCACCTGTGGGCAGGGGAAGCAGTGGAAATGAGGAAAAGGGGAGAGGCATTCACTGGATCACGCTTTTATTTCTTAAAAAGAAAGAGCAGGAACTAAAGCGAACATGGCCGGCATTCACATCCTGGAGGTGGGTACTCAGAGGTCTGTTATGTGCTTTTTCTACACACTCTCTTATATTCACTCATTCAGTAAATATTCAGTGAGCACCTACTATGTGCCAGGCACTGTTCCAGGCTCTGGGGATACAGTAGCAAATCACGCAGACATCCCTGTCCTCAAGGAGCTCGTAATCTCTCTGTATGAAACATGCATAATTCCTTGTTTTGATTTTTAACACATGAATCCAATCCTTGACCACCGAATGAGAAGCAACTTGCCTTTCTCCAGTCCCCTACAATCTGCTCAGTTTTCTCTTCCCCAGAACCTCCCACTAGCGACCCTCTCACACCTCTCATCTTCCATCGTTAATGACTGCCCTTGGTCTTCAGCCATTCCACAGATGATAACATACCAGGCTGTGTCCCCGGGACACAGCGTCCCCTGTAGCAAGGGGGCCTGGTCCCCTTCCACGCCCCATGTCAGGGCCGACCACAGCTGTCCTTTGACAGAGTCCCCACCCTCACCCGGTGGAAGACCCATCACCTGATTGTACCGCCCTCCCCCTCCCCGCCATCACTGTCATTGCCAACTTCCTGGTTACGCTCACCACCATTCACTGGAGACCCTGGGACTGCCTCCAGTCTCCCCCCGCCACAACACCTGTGTAGACACCCCATCCCATGAGCCCTCCATTCCTAGATGTCTCTTTTTTAAAAAAATATTTATTTGGCCGCTCCGGGTCTTAGTTGCGGCATGCAGGATCTAGTTCCCTGACCAGGGATCGAACCCAGGCCCCCTGCATTGGGAGCACAGAGTCTTAGCCACTGGACCACCAGGGAAGTCCCAATTCCTAGACTTGTTTAACATCGATGACCTTTCCGCCCACTGCAGCCACATCCTAGATTGTCATGTCACCCCCAGAACTGTCCTCCTTGGAAATCTTTCACTTCCCAACCCTCTCTCTGAACTCGGCCTTCATTTCTTCCAGCTATACACTCTATCCCCAAATCCGGAGAGCCCCCAGGACTTCACCTCCGTTTTCTCCCTGCCCCTCTGTCTGCTCCTGGCCACTCTCCCCTCCCCTCCCAACCTCGGCCCCAGAGGTGATGCTCTGGACCATTCTCACCTCTCCCTTCATCTCAGCCTCCCACAGCCCCCATCCAGCACAAGCCCTGGACCAAAGCCACCCTCTGTGTCTCTGGCCTGAGTCACCCCCACCCTGGGATTGACAGTCTGGAGCCCTGTCGATCCCGCTCCCCGGCTTTGGTGGGTTCCCTCTCTCCCCTTCAGTTATTAATTAGTTGAACCTTCACTTCCAAATCCCCTCCCTCTGCCCCGCTCCACTCAACCCCTGACCCCTGATGGCCAGCAGAAGACTGCCTGCCTCCCCTGAGAAATCTGAGCCATTAGCATGATTCCCTGCGACTCCCAGCCTTGGGAGTCCTCCTCATCTTCCGCAGCGAAGGATCGCCCCCTTCCCAGTCTATCCTTGCTTCTTATCTCACGTGAAGGCAGCACCAGCCTTACACTTTCCCTGTGCAGAATCCCAGGTGCATGGCTACCCGCACCCCTCACCTTCCACACCCAAATATCAAGTACTGCCAATTTACTTCCTAAATATTTCTTTCATCCTCCCCTCCCTCAAGCCCTGTTACCACAGGTCTAGTTCAGGGCCATCCCCGACGCTGGTCTCTCCAACTCCAGCCATGACCCTCCAACCATCCTCCCTGTGGCTGCCAGAGCGATGCTAGTAAAACACCTGTTGCCGTCATCACACCCATGCTTAAAACCCACAAAAGGCTCCAAGTTGCTCACAGGACAACACAGGACAAGCCCAAGCCCCAGGCATAGCCCCCAGGGCCCTTCACTAGCTGCCAACAGCTGCCAACATCTCCACAGCTCACACTCCCTGTCTCACACCTAAAGCTCCAGCCTCACGCTGACACTTGCAGCTCCTGTACACTTCTGGCTCTTTCTCACCTCTGTTTCTGCTCAAGCAACATTCCATGGCATGGAATGCCCTGCCCCTCCTCCTCATACTTCAAGACTCAGCACAAATGGCCCTTCCTCCAGGAAGTCTTCCCTTCCCACCCTGGGCTGGGTCAGGCATCTGTCCCTTACACTCCCCAAACACCTAGCGCATCTGCCTCTATCACTGCTGTTACCAAAGTGTTTTATAACTTTCTGCTTTAGTGAGTCTCTCCCCCACCTGATATGTGGCAGGTGATCTTAGATAGATGTCCCGCACAAAATGCCCAAAGGCAGAAAGCTAAGCAGGATGAACTCTGGAGATTCCAAAGCACAGGCATATGCTCACCCCTAACCATACCCTCTACAAGTTGGCACTCACCAAACACCCATCCATGTGGGCACATCTACACACTCACCAGTCAGGCGTGAGGGCAGCCTCCCTACCTGCAGTGTCTCAGATTCATCACCTGGGCATGGATGTCCATGCATACCCCCCTCTGGGGGGTCTCGGGTGCCACGTGCCCCATTCCCAGCACCCCCGTGGCTAACATCCCCCCACACACTACGCCTCCCCAGGCACAGTGCCCTTGTGCCAGCCTCCCTGGAGCACTCTACCTTGGCCAAGGATCTCACTATAGGACTTTCCATAATGCCTCGAAGGAAGATCAGGTCCAGTTCGGCTGCCCCTGTGGCATTGGGGAGGGATCCCAGGTTGTCCAGGACTTGCTGCATGGCTGGAGGGAAGGAGCAGGCAGTGAGACACACAAGTGCCGGCTGAGCACAGGGCACCCAAACACACCATAGAAACCCTGCCCTTCTTACCCCACATCCCACAGAAGACAGCCCCTCCCCGGCAGCACATACTTCCCTGCCTGGCACTCCCGGTACTCCGTGAATGCCTGGGGCAGGGGCCCTAAGAAGGGAGGGGCAATTTCCTTGGCCTGTTCTCTAGGCCCTAGGTAATGTTAGCCTGGGCAGGTGGAAGGCTCTAGGCACCAGGAAGTGGACTCTGAGGTGGGGGGAGGGGAGAAAAGAAAGCAGGTGTCAGGTTCCAGGTTCTGCCCTAAACCAGAGAACCACATCATTCAACCTCTGGATGGGCTGAAGCCACAGGACTCAGCCACCTGCATGTGGCGGGCTCAGGGATGAGAAACGGTGCTTGGAGCACGTCCCTGAGTGCAAGTCAAGCAGGCAGCCATGCAGGAGGTCAGGGCCTACCCAGTATCCAGTACCAGCTGCGCCACTAATTCAGTGATTTTGCACTAGTCACTGTCCCTCACAGGCCTCAGTCTTTCCTTCCTGTAAAATGGGTGGATTAAACTGGTTGGTATCTACAGGCCCTTCAGCTCTGAAAGACAAGGACCCAGAAGTTAATACAGGTCATAGGAAGCCAAGGCTGAGGCCCAGAACACTGGTAGGAGCTGGGGAAACAGGCACCCTGGGGCTTGGGATGGTTGTGGACACCCAAGGGCAGAGGGCAGACCAAGTCATCCCAGGGATCAGCAAACCCTCAGCCTGGGATGGGACATAAGCAAGGGCATGAGAACACCTGAAGCTGGGCCACTGCTGAGGTCTGAGGTGGGGGCTGTCTTCCCTCACCAGCAGAGGTGGGAGCTCCTGGCTGTAGCAGGTTCTGGGGGAAGGAAGGGAGAAGCAGAGTGTGCCCAGTTGGGGGCAGAGATGGGCAGAGGGTATCATTACTCTGTCACCCTGCTACCCACGCCTACACCTGCATAACAGCACCCAAACCCGGCAGGAGGAGGGGTGGTGGGTACAGTCCCTGGCAACTCTCACTGCTCTCGGCAGTGCCCCCCTCCTCCAGGACGGAATGGGGGTGGGGCACAGGAGGCTTTGAGACTGGTGCTAGCAGCTACTGTCCAGGGACTCTTGGCCTCCCAACCTCTTCCCCCTCATCCTTCCCACCTTCTCCAGAAAAGACACCCACGCCTGCCCTCCAGACCCCTTCTGCTCAGGCCTGGGCTTGGCATTGGTCAGACACCTGCAAGGCCCTTAGTGGGCTCAGAAAGAGGCCAGGGCAGGGACCCTTCCCGCTCTGCCAGGATATCCTGGGACCCTCCCTCTCCAGTCATCCTCACACACAGATTCCCCAGCCTGCCAGCCATCGGGAGGACTGAGCCAGGGTAGTTGGTGCCCTCAGCCCAGGCCAGCGCTCCCGGAGGGCCGCGCCCCCAGACCGTTAGGCTCCCAGAGAGCCCGCTCCTAGGGACTCTCTCCAGATGCCCCAAAGCCCGCAGGACCAGCCCCCAGCCTCGCCACC